AAAAATGATAGAACTGTATCTTCTTTTACCAATGTTTTAGTGTCTGTCTTAAGTAATTTTTATTTTTAATTGCATTGATATGGATTTTTATATTTTATTTGTTGTTTATAAGTTGTCTTAAATTTCAATATAAACAGAAGAGTGCATATCAATATGTACATTCCACATACATTCAGTAAAAACTAGTAAGCTATACAACATGGTTTGCAAACCAAAGTGGGTAGCACAGTAAAGTTTTTTTTCTTACTGCTGAATTAAATTGCATTTAATTGATCAATTGCAAATTGATCTTAAGTTAGTATAAAATTATGCTACTATAAATATAACATTCCTACTCCTAATCCCTATCTGACATTCAAACACACCTTTGTTTGGGCATGTTTCTGAACTATGGCATTCTGGGTTTGTACATAATATGCAATGCAATTAGTTTGATTCTCTGAATTTGTCATCTATTTCTAAGTATCACCAACCAGTCCAAAACTGCTATCATTTAGGAGGGACTGATGTATGTTTAGACAGGTAACTTCACCCACTCCTGCCTCTGTATAGCAAAACAAAAGAACTGGGATCTTCTTGTCAAATTCACAAGTTTCCTGAAGTGTTTAGTAGGACTGTGGAGGTGTGCAGCTTTGAACAAAGCCAAGGTTTGGGAGTTGCGGAACAGCTCTTCAGCAGGCTTGTTTGGATTAGGTGTTCCAAACCACTGTTTCTCCTGTTTTCAGAACGTACCAGTCTTTGAAAACCCAGCAGCTCCCCAACTCTTTCTGTGAGAAAGAGTGGTGGTAGAAAAGTGTCTGGATCCCAGATGGAAGAAATATCCATATCAGTGGCTGCAGTGGCTAATAGACCCTCAGTTAATCCAATCCCATATGATTTATCTGAGAGTACTACCAACTGTCTGAGGAATCAAGCCTGTCAGATTTGACACACATGAGAACTGCTTCTGGGTACTCTTAGCCTAAGAAAACACTACTTTTAATAACAATATAGCAAATAATGATGTATGTTTGTCTCATGCATTAGATAAAGACAAAATGAAGGTAGCACCTTTATTAAATGTGTGTGGAGGAAGGTCCTAAGCCAAAACTTTAATGATTGCCATACTTCTGCTTTAGCTCATGTTAGTTAGGCTTCCCAATCTGCATATTTTCTATTGAAATTTCAATTGTATTTGTTTCATTTTATGTGTAAGCTATTACAAGCACAATTATTAAATAAACAGAAAATTGGATGTTGCTATCAACCATTGAGTCATACAACGAAAAAAAGAATGTTGACATATTTTTTTACTACATGAAAACCTACAACCTTTTTTACTCCAACATCTTAGCTAGATTCATACAATGCTAAGTTATTAATATTCAATAAACTTTCATTATATAGGCCACAATTTTCTACATTGACATTTTGTATTAAATTAAAGCAAAAACTACTTTAATATGCTTCATCTATCTAGCCATTAAATAAGTATGATTTCAACATGCCATTTCTCTCTTCCCTCTGACTTCCTTTTTAAACCATCCTGTCAAATAGTTTTGAAAATCCAAATTCTTGCTTATTATTTTATGATTGTGAGTAGATCTAAGGAAAATAGGTTTACTGTAGAATTCGAACTTTTTCATCCTATGCAATGGAATTCAGTTTATGTTAAATTACCAGTATTATTGACAAGATATCTGGATTTACATGATACACAAGGTCATCTATACAACTATGTTTTAGCTTAATGAATTCTATGCCAGCCTCATGTTTGTTATAGTTCAGTGTGCCATGAGAATCCAGTAAACTGAGAAAATCATGGTTAAATATTCCATGGTAAACCATATGTGCAAATGCATGTGTTATTTGTCTATAAGATCCAATCTGAGTCAGTCACTGGAACCAGAGGTTTATTCTTCCAAGCTTTTGGAGCCCATCCTCATGGAACTTCTCTTTCCAGAAAGTGTGCATCAGGCTGTTCTACACGTTATATTTATATTGCGCCTGGTTTATTTTTCTATAAATGATGCAATTCAACAATTATGCATTTAATGATACTTGAATCCATTTTTGCTCTAGCATCCATGGGGTTAGTTTAGGGTTCAGTGTGGCATGAAAACTCTGAAGTACTTATTTTTTTCCTGTAGTAATTTTTTTTTCTTATTTGTTCTTCAATTTATTTTCCTACTCAACTTTTCTTTCCCTTGGGTCATGTCTCATTTGCTGTTATCATAACAGGTATGTAACGCTGAGGTATAACAATGTGAAAGGCAAACTGGGATTTGCTTCTCTACATTTCAGAATTATGGATTTGGGCCAAATCCATGGAGCACTTGTGATGGTAGACTGAGAGTATAATAATAAATCATTTCAGAAACAAACAACACGTGCCCAAATCCCAGTTGCCTTTATGATTCTTCCAGTATTTCCATTAACATACACATACAAACTCAGTCAATGGTAGAAATATTATGACAAAAAATCTTGTTACTGAAACAGCAGTGGAATAAAAAAAGTGGATTAACATTAAACAAGTCAGGAGGCTGAACAAGCTATATAGTGTATTCTTGGAGTGTTTACATAAAAATAAGATATATGACATTAAGTGATTCTTCGTTCCAAATAAGTACACACAGGAGTTGAAAAAAGTAATATTGTTGGAAGCAAGTTGAAATGCTTTTGCCCTGATTCAAGCAACTCTTCTTATGGATTCTGTTGCAATATTTAAGTTTCTGGAAATAAGCTATTTTAAAAATACAATACAGAATATGTTACCTGATCTTTGGGGGTTAATGTTTAACTTTAATATAAATTTTATAATTGCAAAAATGAAAGAGATGCATTAATCAATAACAATTAATTTCAAAGTCCAGCTAGACTATGCTAAGAAGTATGTGAAATATTGCCACATTCCTAGGTACATGCACTCACACTAAGCAATAACTTACTTAACTGTAGTTTAGTGAATAAACCACAACTGACTGCACAAACTGAGTCCAAATGCAATGACAATATGATAAACAAATAACATTACTGTTTGTTACCTATATTGTGTAAATAAAACCAAAATAAAGATTTACAAAACAAATGTTTCCTATAATTAAGAATATACAAATTCTTCCATTCCCAGGATGCTCCACTTCTCCCTTATGGGCTAGTCTGAACATTTTGGGATAGTTTGTCCACTTCCAGAAAAACAGTCCATGGTAATCTGGATGCGGTTGTCCCCATTTCCCCATTCCACTCCAGAAAAGTGATGCGGGGAAGCATTATTAAAATATTGTCTAGACAGATCATAAAGGTTTGAACATAAATAATATTGGCTATCCAGTTTGGTGTGTAGCAGTTAGAGGACTGGAGAGATCAAGATTAATTCAGCCACAAATTATGAAGTTAGGCTATTGGTTTGAACTCTGAGCTTGGCAATTTGGTTGCAAACATTTCATCACCGTTCAAAGGCATTGTCAGTGCATCCAGACAACTCAAAACACACTGACGATGTCTCCTCAAATGGTGACGAAAAGTTTGCAACCAAATTGCTAAGCTCGGAGCTCAAACCAACAGCCTAACTACCAAACCCAGCTACTAATATTCAAACATACTAATTATGAAGTTATTTGGAGTCTAATTCATAGCCATAATAATAAGCAATCTACCAGGCTACTGAGCAACCCATGAATATCATCATTTTTTCTTCCCATTCCACACCTCACATTCTGTGTCTAACCATCAGCCAATGCTGTAATAGTATATTGAAATAATAGCTGTAAATCATCAGATCTGAAGACCCCAAAGGGGCAACAGTTTTTCTACATTTGATGATTGGTAATTTTAACAAGCTTTATTCATTTAAAAATATTTATGGTTTATTATTTAGCATGTTGTAAGAACTCAGTTGAGAATAGCTGAACTCTACCATGATGTGTAAGTCGCTCCCAGTCATGAACCTGAGTTTGTGCATGCCACACATCTGTGCATAATTGGCTGTTATAATAAAAATACCTAAGTAGATAAGTTGTAAAATAATGACTGAACCTTTTTATAAAATCAGTGATTGTGTTCATATAAAATGCTAGCTGATGGCTAACTTCCCTTTACTTAATTTAATTGACTGTGTTTATAGAACATACTTAATTGTTAAGTCCACAGGATGAGTTTGCATAACATGCTAAGTTATAAAATGTGATTAAAGGTAGCTAATTTGTGATGCCTTTGCTGTGCAAACAAAATCACATTTTTAAAATTAAGAATATAGAACACAGAAACAAAGGGCTCAGAGGTTTTTTAGTTCAACCTTTGCTCAAGGGAGAAGATTTTATACCATCCCGGTGAAATGGTTGTCTAGTCTATTTTTGAAAACCTCCAGTGATGGAGGGCCCACAATTCTGAGAGGCAAGCTATTACACCATTGTTCTCACTGTCAGAAAATTTCTCCTTACTTCTAGGTTGAATCTCTCTTTAACAAACTTCTACCCATTGCATCTTGCCCAGTGTTCAGGTGCTTTGGAGAATAAGGCATTCCATTCTTCTCTGTGATAGCCCCTCACCCCATTCCTAAGAGGTGTGTAAGGGGTGTGCATAAGCGCACCAACGTGCCTACCATCCCTGTCTTAATGTTCCCTTTTATTCATATCTATTTCACGTATTAATAATCATCTTTATACTTATATATATTATCAAATGCATGCTTGACAAAATATAAATAAATAAATAATAAAGTATTGGAAGAGGGGCTAGATATACTTGAATCCCTCAACCGTTCATCATACGATTTATAGCCACTTTTCTGCACACTTTTTAAAATCTCAGCATCTTTTTTGTATCGTAGTGACCAGAACTGCATATAAACTTATTATACAACAAACGTGCCCAAAAGCCGATCAAGCAACCGGAATTTTTCTTCAATAAATTGCGCGGCCAGGGTCTAAGGGAATTGGGTTTCTGCTGCTGCCGGTAACTTGCAAAATAAGGGAAATACGGTGCCCCGCAAGCTCACGTGGCTTGGAAAAGTCAGAAAGACACAGGAATGCTCGGTTAAATTTCAAACCCGGAAACGGAAACATTAAAGCCAGAGGCGACGGGTGGTTTTTTTTTTTTTAACTTTCTTTTGAATTCCAGAGAAGGGACTAGAGAACTCGAAGTGGTACGCGGTGAGTGACTTTCCCGAAGCTAATCTCCTTTGTCTTGATTTACGTCAGTCGGTCTGGTTTGTGCAGAGTCAGGGGGTGGGGTGAAACGTGTGGCTGAACTGGCGGGTATGGAGGGGAATCTCCAATCCAGGTGACGGGGAAAAAATTAAATGCAACGGGGAATATTAAGAGAATATTAGAAAATTAATCACAATGCTTGAAATTTGTATTTCAAACTGCAGGTGTAGTCGTATGCCTTAGTGTAAATTTTACTTTTTCCAAGTAAAGTGTGTAAGATAGCAATAGCACTTAGACTTGTATACTGCTTCACAGTGCTTTACAGCCCTCTCCAAGCGGTTTATAGAGTCAGCATATTGCCCCCAACTATCTGGGTCCTCATTTTACCCACCTCGGAAGGATGGAAGGCTGAGTCCTATCCATATTTTCTTGGACACCATTTAGGTGGAAGGATTTATTTCTGGTTGGACCAGGTGCAGTTATGATAAGCTAATGACTTTGTTCCCAGGAACATCATAAAAAAAAACCCTTGAATATATTTAATACTGATTACAATCAGATTTATTGTTCTCTCTTCATAGTTTATCTTTTTGCTGATGTGTGCTACATATCACAGAGCATTTCCTTATACAAAAATAACAGGAAACTGCTTTTATAACAGTTGTATAGAATTTCAGTATGTGCAGACTACATATTCTCATTCTCTCTCTCCCCCCCCTCACATATATATGGGGGGGGGGAGACAGAGAGAGAGAGAATTGTAGGCTGCAATTATAGAAGTTGAGAGTGCAGAAGTCAGCACCATCATGTCAGCAATCACAGACTTTTCCCATGACAATCTGTCCCTCACTTGGTCTTCCAATGGTACACTCATCATTCCTTTAATTGTGTCTATCTACCTTATTATGGGTCATCCTCATCTATTTTCTTTCACCTTTCTCAACATTAAAGTCTTATCTGGAGACCTAGATCCTTGCATAATTTGTCCATAGCAGGACAATTTGAACTTGGCCATTTGTGCCTCCAGTGAGAATTAAGGGTTGTGTTTGATTTTTGTTTGTTTGTTTGTTTACTGACTACAGTATTATCAGGAGTCTTCTCCAACACCAAATTCATTATTTTTCTTATCCTGCTTCTTCAAAATCCAACCTTCATTTCCAAAGGAAAGGATAGTAGTCCCTTATCTTAACACTGAAACTAATTGGACAAGTAGTACAATCTAATTTTAATAGTAGCATTGAAGCAATATCTTCTTGCTTGAAGACATTAGAATAAATTATGTGGTAGATTTGTGATCAAACATAGTGTGTCACAGTTATGCCTTCAGCTTTGGTTTGCTGCCCTTTGTCTAAAAATGAAAAGGATACTGACTAAAATGCATGCATCAGTAGCTGTATCTCTTTGAAGAAGACAAACACATATTTTAATATGTAGTTTGAAAGATGTAAATAAAGGAAATGGGCTCCTCACATCTTTGAATTCTTGTACAGTTTGCAGTTAACTTTATTTGCTGTATAAAATAGATTATTTTTATTAGAAATTTAATTATAGAAGTAGAGAGATTATTTAAATTCCATTCTAATTTTATTAATGTGAATTTATTATCCATCCAACTCCAATGGACTAAAATTGTATCTAGGTAGTACTTCTTTGAGAACATAATGATTTATTATTATTTAAATACCACCCAACTTCCAATGACTCTTAAAATCCTTAAAATCATTAAAATATTTTACAACCAATAACAATAGAAAATACACACACACAAACACATACGCAACAAAACAGAAGAACAATTATGGCAAAGAAGAGAAATAGCTCTGTGGAAAAATTCTACAGCTGATTTTACCAAAAACTGAGGATGTTGCATAGTTGAGAGCAGTTGAAACATAATTTCCTCTTATGATTAAGCTTGTAAAACAACTTTTAGATTGCTGCAGGATGTTCCTCTTGGAAACAAAATGTTCTTCATAAGCCAGTAAAGAGTTTTTTTTAAAGGAAAACAGTTACCCATCTTCCTTTTTCCACTGCCTGAGAAATGAAACTGTCAGCAAGAAAGGAAAAGGATTAATTGGACTTTAAACTCTAGGCACAGTTCAGTTTTCAACAGACATCAGCATAATTGAAATCTCCCATTAGACAGACATACAGAAAGACAGACAGACTTTGTCTAATCATCAGTGTCCCATTTTTAGGAAAGGTATTGAAAGCAGCAGGTGTTCAGTATTAGAGAATGAAACAGATTATCTGGATCCATACTTATCAGTTATCAGATCCTATCATAGGACAGGTAAGAGGACATTGTTCTGTTCACTGGCCTTTAAGTTTCTTGAGGAAACGTACCTTTTTGTTCCTACTATTAGTATTTTGAATATCACCTGGCACCATTGACCATGATTCCCTACTGGATTGTCTGCGAAGGTTGGGAGTTTGGGGCACTGTCTTGCAATCATTGCACTCCTACCTAAGCAGGGAATTCCACTCAATTATCATAGGGGAACACTGCTTGAATCCATGACCACTCCCATGTGGGGCATAGCTCTTTTCCTCTATGATATTTAACTTATATGAAGCTAGTGGGCAAGGTTTGTTCCAGGGTATGGTGCTATCAGTAAGCTGACCATTTCTACATTGCTACACCAGCCTATGCTGGATCAGGTTTTGACAGCTGAACTGGGTTTTGGAGGCTGTCAAGATCTAGATCAAGGGTGTCAAAGTCACGTCGACAGGGCAGCATCATGTGACATACCATGACTTTTTCCCCCTTTGCTAAACCGGGCGTGGGCATGGTCAGCATGTGACACATCCAGCCCACAGGCTGTGAGTTTTACAGCACTGATCTAGATAGTGCAAAACAAGTTCAAATTAAATCCACCTAAGTCCATGTTGCTTTCCATCAATAAGGTTGGGTGATTCAGCTAATGTTGGCTACAGTAAGACACTTTCTGTGATAATGCTCCCTTCAAAGGAATAGTTCTCTGGTTTAGGAGGGCCTATAATCCTCCTTAGCTCCTCCAGCTGTTGCCACTTTAGCTGATGTGCCAATTTTAGACCTGAGATGCCTTGTACACAATGATGTGTTCTCTAATCGCCATGTGATTAGACAGCTGCAACATGTTCTACAGGTAATCCTTCATTTATGATCGATCACTTAGTGACCTTAGAAGTTACAATGGACACCCTTACTCCAAAGCTTACTACTACCCAGTTTTGAAGTTATGGACGCTGTAGCATCCCTGCGGTCACATGAACAACATTTGGGCAGATTCACCCTTACAACTGACCTCAGGGACTGACTGTCTCTTCCATCTCTCCCTGCAGGCTTTTTGCCTGATTTCTCCCTCACCCCCTTCCCAAATTCCTTTTAATGAGGCTTACTGCTTCCATATAAATATATGTAGGTCTTATAAGTGTGTTTAGAAGCAAAAAGGGTTTATGGTCACTGCCTAAGAAATACTAAAATCCAATGCTTAGGGCCATTTATATTGTTGTGTTGTATCTTCACTTCACAGAAATATTAAGAGCACTAAGACCTGAAGCTAACAATTACTTAGCATATAAAATGTTTTTTTCATGAGTAATATTCTGTCAGTGGGAAGTAACACCTGATGCACTGATATAAAACTGAAAGTTTTAATTTAATTTAATGTATTAATTTCTCACCTGGGGAAAAGTTCTTAGCTCATCTAGCAGTTCTGTAAGGTATTATTTAAATTTGAAGCTTTTTTGGATGCTTATTAATTCAAGATTATCATAAATATTTACCCATGTTAACAGCTATGTGCAGGAGTTAAATAATCTTATATATAATTTAAGATGTGAAAATGGACAGAATTTCTGAATGAATATCTGGCATTCTATGTTTGCTATAAAATTGGGATTTCACTATTACTCTTATCACATATGAAATTGCTTGGTTGATAGGCTTCCCTATGTTCAGAAAATGACTAATACAATCAATGGAAAACTGCATGTATAGACCTGTCTGTAGTTCCTGTGCAGATTTCCTAACCAAAGTAAATACTGTATACTCATATTATCTTAAAATTTGATTTCAAGATGTGGGAGAATAGCAGCTAACACTGTAGGACAATGTGCTTAACTTCCTGTGCCCAATCCTTCCTTTCCTTTTCTCTGTACAAAGCTGAACTGTACAGGCCCAGTACTTCCATTTGTAGACTAGATTTATGGAAGTTTCATAAATGTTTTTTGTTCTGATAATATATAATAATCGCTAACTAAGAAAATACACAGCTTGTGCTGTCATTTTCCATAACAGCACTTGGATTAGCAGATGAATATTTTCATAGCATGAATATAATAATTAAAAAGTGATTACTATCCAGGAATCATTGATAGTTTTGAAGCAAGGGCTGACAAGAACATTTGGGTATCCAAGATGGCCTTTATAGGTTTGTCAGCCCTTCATGGCAGACCAGGGCTATCGAAAGAAGTACTAAAATACTAGAACCCTGTAGAGATAGACGGACAGACAGGCAAAATAATATTAGAAGCGGGATAGTTTTTTTCCTTCTATCCTCCTCCTATCAAAAATAATCAAAGGTGGGATAATCTTGAGTTTTTTTTGCAAAGTCCTGTTTTCCCAGGCTAAAGTTATGTTTTATCAATGGTTGACATGTATTTTTTTAGGACTCTTACATATTTCTATACAGGTTAGAATCTGAACTCCAAAATAGCTTTAAAAAAAAAAAAAAAGTTCAGTTACCCGATGCACTTTAGAAAGTTGAGATGGCTTTTTCTTATTATAATCTGATTTGTGAATCTGTGTGTTTTATTAGTGTAAAATATACGTGTGCAGGGGTGGGATTCTACCAGTTCGCACCTATTCACTAGAACCAGTTGTTAACATTTGAAGCAGTTCGGAAAACTGGTTGTTAGAAGAAATTACTGGCCTAATCCTGTAAGGAAGGCAGGAAGGAAACATTCTGGTGTTGTTTACAGAAACTGCCTCTCTGTTAACCCTTATTACATTCTTGGCAGGACTTGACTTCCTGTCTCAGGAACTTCTCTGGAGTTTTTTTTACCTCCTTTGCTGGTACTTTGCTTGTGTGGAGTGACCATTCAAAGTTATAATGGCACTGAAAAAAGTGACTTATGACCATTTTTCACACTTACGACTGTTGCAGCATCCCCACAGTCATGAGAAGCCAGGCGAGGAGATGCGTGCCTTGATGTGAGTGATATTGAGTTGGCCACACCCAGCCAATAACATGACCACCAAGCCATGTCCACCCAGTCACATGACCACCAAGCCACGCCCACAGAACCAGTTGTTAAAAAATTTGAATCCCACCCCTGTATGTGTGGTTACTCAGGCATTCCGTCCAATGGCAAGCAGCATTAAAATCTTATTTTGGTAGTGTTGCTTTTATCCACAATCCCCAGTTGGAAGGTTTGATAGAACTTATTTGAAGTAGAAGTTTGGTATCACTCAGAACTCAGCTCTGATATACACTTTACTAGACTGGGATGAAAAAAGATGCTTGTAGTTGCTTGCTTTCTCACAGAAAGACTTTTAGCAGTACTCAGTTGTTCCCTCATGTTTGAATTGGGAAGATACTCTAAAATGTTCTGTTGTGGAGACTGGTAAATTGTTTTTGTAGCACTTCCATATTTTTGGTAATTCAGAAAAAAAAAGAATTCACAGATCTTTACCCATGGAGTTTTATATCATTTAAAATTAAATATAAGGAAATGATTTCAAGAAAGGATGAGGGAAGTAAAAGCAGGGGTAAATAAGATCTTTTTATTCCAGGTTCCAATAAAATCACTTCAAGAATAATTTCTAGAGTCAATAATTTCTAGAGTCAAATGTTGCACTCAGAATTTTCAGAGTTTGTTCCTAGAAGAATAACTGGTTGTGGAGAAGTGTTACAACATCATATTGTTAACTGTAATCTTTTGTTTTGCCAAGAATAGTTCACAAGGTAGGAACTCATACAAAGAATTAACCTATAGACTGCCCGTCTACAAATTACCTTGAATCTAGAAGAATAGAATAGAAATAGAATAGAATAGAATAGAATAGAATAGAATAGAATAGAATAGAGTAGAATAGAATAGAATTCTTTATTAGCCAACTGTGATTGGACACAAGGAATTTGTCTTGGTGCAAATGCTCTCAGTGTACATAAAAGAAAAGATACATTTGTCAAGACTCAAGAATCAAAAGGAACAACACTTAATAATAGTTATAGGGTACAATAAGCAGTCAAATCATACTAGGAAACAGTCAGTATAAATTGTAAGGATACAAGCGACAAAGTTACAGTCATATTGTCACCAGTGGAAGGGGGTGGGTGATAAGGAGCATACAGAAAAAAAAATCTTAAATTCTTAGAAACAAAATATCCCTGTTCAAAACAAACAAATTATATTTGGTCATTTTTGTCCATACCTCAAGAACCAAACAAAGCAACACAACTTTTGCATTTGGCAATTTGAAAACTCAGGAATCTCTCAATACATATTCACTTAATAAGCACCGCAATGCTCACTCACTGATTAGTCAGTGAACAACAGTGTGGGTTTCCTACTGTGCTGTGAAAATGGCAAGGTAAGACAAAGGTGTTGGCAACCAAGTGTAAAATATAGTCCTATTCAGGTTGAAAATATTTTTTCCTCTTTGTAGGCTTAAAAAAATGATAGAATGTGATTCTAAACAATAAAAAGTGCCTGTGTTCATATAAACAAAAATTTGTTCACATTGAAATTAAACAATACAAACAACCTGTCCCAACTAATTTCCTGAGTTATGCAAAGACATTTTTGCATTTATTATTCTCTTGGCCTAGTTTCTTGAGAACAAGGTGTTTTTGTTCAGGTAGGCATTGAAGCTGTTAGTTGGTTGTTTTAGTTGGCTATTCCTTTATTTCATAATATTTCAGTATGTTGTTTCTCTCCATTTTATTCAGATATTATTTATTTTTATGCTTTCTGTGGTTCTTTTAAAATGGTTGCCCTTGATGGAGTGTAAAATGAATACACTGAATATTAACTAAAATGTTGGTGAATAATATATCACTTCATCCAGTTATTATTTCCTTAAATTAAATGGCAATTTCAACATTATAAATGCAGTCCGATCTACAGGTTTTCTGTTTTGTGCAGTTAAACCATTAAAATATAAACCATCATTACGTTTTGTTTAGATAAAGATGCCTTTTGAATGCAACTATGCTTTGCTTCACACTGGACAAAGAATGCCTTTTGTTGGATTAGGTACTTGGAAGAGTGAGGCTGGAAAAGTAAGTAGTTCACTATTAAGCTGAGGAAGTTATTTAAAGTATTTAAGATCTTAAATTCTGTGTGTTAATAGAAAGGTATGTTTTCATTTTCTGTTAATCAAAAGATTGGGTAAAGAAAAGGTTTCATCAATGATCGCATTATATTCTGCATTTCCATCCTTCCTAGCCCCCTTTGTCTTCAGCGTAAATCGTAAGTAGTGTTATATTTACTCTAAAATTCAGGCTTGATTAGTGGTTGTCAAAAGAAAAAAAAATCCCAGTGTTCCTATTGATCAAAACATATAGCCATGATATTTTTCAAGGGGAGAAATTTTATAAATTTCTACAAAATACTCAATTTTCATAAAAGAGAATGGAATCACCTGATGAAATTGTGTCCTGGGTTCTACTTAGTGTTATTGCTTTTGAAAAGCTGGGCAAATATTTTAAATAACTAGAGATTATAATGACCTTCAGTTTCAGGTCTGCAAGCATGTATATAGTATTGCCAATTTACTATAATGGCTATGTTCCCATACTTCCAAACCAGGGGTAAAAATAGCAGTCTTGGAGGGTTCAGGTGACCACTAGCATCCATTTTGTAATCCTCAGATGCTTTTCAAGTAGCTGCAGCCAAAAGTTGCATCTTCAAAAGTGGCTGGGGCTAAAACCTGTTGGGATTATATAAGAGATGCTACTCTTAAGATGCCCAAATTCTAAAATGTACAAAAAAAATCTAGATAATAGAAACTAATAACATATAAGAGGAAAAAGAAATTAAATAAAAATTAATGAACAGAGAAAAATACTTCTGTATGCAGCATAAGAATAATAGCTCCATTTCTATATATATTATACACCTCAGATAAAACAAAGTAAACCTTCTCCATATGGATTCATATTGCCCAATATTTTCTTTCTTTCTTTTTAGTACTGAAAAGCCAATTGAAAGGCTGAGAGTTAACCAATTTCCTTTAGCTGACCTTTAGAATGTAATATGCGCTGGTTCTTCCAGGATCACTGTTTTTGTGATGGTCCATCCATCTTGATATATACAGAGATCTTCATAAATTGACAAGTTCCATACTTTGGCATATAGTTTAACAAGCATTTGAAATCATTAAAACTCTTCCCAAGAATCTGGTTCACCATAACAATGATGTCTAACCCAGGGTTGTCTGGTCTTGGCAATTTTAAAACTTATGGATTTCAACTCCCAGAATTTCCCAGCCAGCAGGTCTTAAAGTTGCCAATGTTGGATACCCTTGGTCTAACCAAACAAATTACCAAGGGGCATGTCTAAAGAATATGTAATAATGTACTGAAATCTGGGAAGAGACCACAAGGTTGGCCACACAAGCACTACCAAGACACTGAAAGAAATTTTGTGCCACTGTGACATCCAGCCAAAGGAACAAATGTATCAAAGTATGACTAAGTATGAAATATGACCAATCCAAAGTAATTTAGCATATTTTGTAGCTAGAAGAAATTTGAAGCTAGAGTCAATAGTATATACTTGTTTGAGAATGCATCAACTCTGTATTTATGAACTAGTCTGACCACTAGGCTAAATGATGACACACAGGTTTCCACACATAAAGCCTTATATCTATATTCATATGAACTTGAGTTAGTTAAGTAAGTCTCTGTTTAAAAGAGAATGGGAATTTCCTATTTCGCTGTCTTCAAGACAAAGGTTGGGCGAAGGTAAGAGTTTTCTGTCTTCTTACTAAATTATTTTGTTGTTACTATTGTTATTTAAATACTCAGTATTATTTCTGAACTTTGCTTATGTTCAAAAGCATATCTGCTAAATTCAGCTTTCTAGCAATAGTACAGTGAATAGAAATCAAGGCAAGATACTACTGTGTGAAGCAGAGAGCAATGAAATATAATAAGAAACCAAAGTAGGGTTACAGAGGCGCAGCTGTAAGCTAAGGAAATTTGCACAATCAAGGTTTCAATTTAGCTATTATTCAACCTGTCTGCAGCAAGTAATAACTCACTTTGGCTGATCTTGAAAAAGTTGAGGAGTGGGACGTGGTAATATTTGAATGGGAGAGCATGTAGAAATTCAAGCTGTATGAAGTTTTAAAAATCACTTTTCCAGTGTCACCAGGAAAACTATTCATGAAATCATCAGGAGCCAAACTCAATTCAAGAGGGATCTTTTCTTTTTGCATGATTGAACAAGAGACTCCCTAGAGTCATTTTCCAATTCTTACAATTTGTAGCTATTTACTAAGGCAAGAAAGCTGGTGAAATAATCAAATGCATGGCAATATAATAGATGAGGAAAATCTCTTTTTAAAAAATGCCATCAGTTTTTGTCAAAAGACAGAAATCTGTGGCAATTCTAACAATTGTGGTGACATAATAATCTCCTAAGAATGCACCAATTCTCCTGAGAATGCAGTGAGGGTTACAGATTTTCCTCCCTTCTGTCATTCTTTTGTTTTTCTTTTGGGCATATGTACATGCCCCACCCCATACAACAGATCTTAAACAACTCTTTTATTTGTCTTAGCATTACTTATTAAATTAGAGTAGCCTTTGGGATATGCTTCCTCTCATTGTAATCCACTGTTCTTTTCATTTTTCTGTTCTAGGTAAAAGAGGCTGTGAAGTATGCCCTTAGTGTGGGCTATCGCCACATTGACTGTGCTACAGCTTATAGCAACGAAGCAGAAATAGGTGAAGCTCTCCAGGAAACTGTTGGGGCTGACAAGGTAAAAGAAGGAATTTATCTGGGTTCCTGTTAAAAAGGAAAGGCAGAAAGGTCAGCTTTGCAAAGCCATGTCTATTTCATATTAGTTCTACTTACTGAACAATTATAATTGTACATCTCTTTATGTACCGTAATATGACCATCAAAAGCAATGTTCTAGTGTGATTCTGTGTTGTAAATTCTGCCTGGTTCTGTTTGTTTTTCTGAGCTTGGGAATTAAGCTGCTTGAATGGGAGATGTGGGGAAATTCTGGGCTATAGGTTACCCAAGAGTCTAGACGGTTGGAAAAAAAAAACATCTTAAAAGGCAAGGGCAAACCATTTTAGTATTGGCAGCATGAAATCATGGACATGTTCTTCAAATCATCAGAAGATGAACTCATCTTGGAGGAAGGAACAGTAAGGTAGATTATGACTAAATAAAGAAGGAATGGACATGAAATAATAAGATGAACCCTTAATATGTAAAAAATAGTTATTGTCAGGATAGCATCTAATTGTCAATTTGATCATGTTTCTGCTACAAAAACCTCTGGAAGTAAATGTATGAATTAGAAGGAAGTGAAAATATGCAAAACATGATTTAGACAGAATAAAAGTTTGCTTGTTATGTCTGCATAAAGTGAACTTTATTATGTTCAATGTGGCATGGTAATATGTTAAAACTTTGAAACACAGCACCTTTTCATAGTAATTGTTTTGTTTGGATGTCTTAACAATCTCATAAGACTTTTAGAACTTATTTGTACTTTGAAGTAAAGTATTTCCCATTCTGCTCAGATTTGCCCATTCATTTCCTTCTTGGCCAAAAATAGAACCTGAAATATAATACAGAGATATTGAATTCAGCAATATATAAGTTAGTGTTCTTTGGTGCTTTTCTTTGGTGAGGTGTCTTCACTTGTATTAAGAAATACTTGAAACTATAATGATTTATTGTTCATTGTTCTTTTTAAAGGCTGTTAAAAGGGAAGAACTATTTGTTACATCAAAGTTATGGAACACCAAACACCATCCAGAAGATGTGGAGCCAGCTTTAAGGAAGACTCTGCAAGATCTAAAGCTGGATTACCTAGACCTCTACCTTATGCACTGGCCACATGCTTTCGAGTGCGTTTTAATAAGAGAAACATTAAGAGACTAAATCCCAATTTGTTATTTATTTAAACCTGGGGCACAGGGCAGGGGAACAGAGAGGGAGAGAGGCTGAAATTTACTCCTTTTTAAAAAAATAGGCGGAGGGAATGAATATTGTGGAAATTATGTATGATCCAACTCATATCACAATGTTGATGTTCTATTACTTGTTTCAGCATAGTGCTAAGACTCTAAGAAAAATTACATATGACTACTGAAAGTATTTTGTTTTGTGTGTTCATTCTGGAGGGCTACTATTAATTTGTATAGTTCACAATATTATGAAAAATTATATAGTTCATATTTTATTTATTTAATTTACATTGCCGCCTATTCGCCAAAGGCTACTCAAGGCGGCTTACACAATGTAAACCATATTTAAAAGAAAAAATAAAAATAAAAAACAATAAAAACTAACAAAAAGAATCAAATAAATTAATAAAGTACAATAGAACAAAATCTGGAAAAATAAAAATAAAAATCACCCAACTCCCACCACCCCCGCCCTGACGACAGCAGATCACTCTAGCTATTTGATGGGCTCTATCCCACTCTGGGTTCCCCAGGCCTGCTGGCAAAACCAGGTCTTCAGTGCCTTTCGAAAGAGTACTAGAGTGGGGGCCATTATAATCTCTGGGGGAATGATGTTCCAGAGAGAGGGAGCCACCACAGAGAGGGCCTTCTTCTGGGTCCCACCAGGTGTATCTTCTTCAGGGATGGGACCCGCAACGTTCCCTGCCTGCCCACTCTAATGGGTCAGGTAGATGTGACCGGCAAAAGATGTTCTCTCCGACAACCTGGTCCCAAGCTATGAAAGGCTTTAAAGGCACTATTACAATTACATATTGCTATATGTAAGCTAGTAAAATAGTTGTTAAGTGATTATTTTGAAGTGTATTTGTTCTTAATAGTGTTTCCAATGGATTTGCTATCTATTTTTTTATAATAGGCGAGGAAATAATCTCTTCCCCAAGAATCCTGATGGTACAATGCGTTATGATTATATTGACTACAAAGATACATGGAAAGCTATGGAAAAATTGGTGGAAAAAGACTTGGTGAAAAATATTGGGCTCTCAAATTTCAACAGTCGACAGATTGACGATGTTCTCAGCATAGCTTCTGTCAAGCCAGCAGTTCTACAGGTAAGATAGAAGAAGAAAAAGAGGATGTGATTGATTCTTAAGATTATGATTAGAGTAAAGGAAGTGCAGTGTAAAAGAAATAAGTTGTGTTTCTTTTGAGAGGCATGTCAACATACCTGGGCCAAAAGTTGCTTCTTAAGGAGGGAGTGCACCACACCTTCCTGTTTCAATGCTGCCAACGCCACCACCCTCTCAAGGATTCATTCACCACTTCTGTATCCAACCTGTTATCCCCTCTCTGGTCACATGTACCAGCCAGGAGGAGTGTGGATCTAAATGCAAATGATGAAGTTCATCCAAGAGAGGACTCTATTCCTGTCTTCAAGCTGTCATAGACTTGAAAAAGTCCCAGATGGCCTTGCAAGATGCTACAAGACTTTACATAGATTTAATCTGAACAGATAAGAATTATTTTGTCTGCAAAATATCTAGTAAAGTGGTCATAGTGGCCTACTAGAGGACCCAACAATGATTTAGGTCACATTAAATAAGATTTCTGGATGGCATTCTGCCACTAGACTAACTGGACAAATATTGAAGGTTTATCACCCTTTCTGCCACCTATGTTCAGTCACCTTCCCTTTTTATTTTTCACCACTATTGCTGCAGGTGTCTCCTGTATTACCTTCTGAAGCATCTCTCTAAACCAAGAGGACTCCCCCACCCCCTGATCAATGCACAGGGAGAGGATGCTTAGGCATTCTGTCAAGTATCTTCCTCAGTTCTGTGTTTCTGAATTCAAATAAGAGTGTCAATTAAACACTCCTCAGTAGACTGATAAGAAACTCCCCGTGTTGTCCCTTGAATCCAAGCAGACTCATAAGTGACTGGGGGCCAACCCTTTAATGCTTCTTTTCTCTACAGGGTTGCTAGTGGCCATTGAATATCAAGGATATCAGAAAGTGATCTGACCATTATAAAGGATTGGTATTAATGTCTTTGAGATAACCTGAGGTAAAAGCCAATCTAATATATAACTCCAGTCTGAGTAGGGACTGTGGTAACTTAGGGCAAACCATAGTTTCATGGTGATCATAAAATATAAACAAAACAAACATGCAGCTATAAACTTCTAAGTTGTCCTATAACATATTTCCAATAGGTTGAAATTGTCTGAGTGAGTCCACCACCAGCTAGGCAATCTTAAGCAGTTCTAGAAGGCAGCATGCTGGCCAGCAGGGATAATACTACATTAACAGTTCCTCTGCTTGTCCTTGATACCCAGTTTCATATACAGGACCTTAGATTTAGTAATTACCAAAAGAGTTCATCTGTTTACATCACCCTCTCATTGAATGTTATTGCCTCTCCTCTTTCCCAGCCTTGGTATCAAAGTTGGCATAGCTCCTGAAACCTGACCAGTCAGATCTTAGGCAGAAGCAATTCTTCATTCTCACATAATCCAGTCTAAAAGGTACATGTCCATGCGTGTCTGCTGCCTCCTCCATCCCAAGGCCATGTAGGGACATGCTCTTACTCCAAATAAACTGGCATTGAAAAGAATCAACTGGATTCTTTTCAACTGGCATTGAAAAGAATCAAATGAATCTAGGATCTTAGTTGGGGCTGGGGGACAGAAGTGGGGATTGGTATTAAATATCCAATTTATTTTTGCCTGCAACAGTTTGTCTTCACTAAGCCCTATGCCCTCTTTGCCCATCATTACTTTGATCCTTTCCCATTCTGTCCTCTCCTGTGTCTCCTCTCAATACAGGGCATCACCATCCTTTCAATCCAGTTACCACCCTGTTTGTATTTCTGAAAATCATTCTGCCATTTAGAATATAGCTACCTTAGCAGAAAGGGCCATGGTCAACCTCCAGCTATTCCTCCCCTTCTCCCACTAGGCCTTCTCCCACTCATCCCCTTCCCCATTAAAATCAGTGTAACCTTCCATTCCAATTCCACCCTTAGGGGTTTTTTCCCCCACTCTACTCTTCCTGGTTCTCCTCTAAGAAAAAGAGTGCTTCCTCATGCTGTAAACTTCCTTTTCCTCCTTTGGAAGTTGGTCCTCTATTCCACCTGCTTTGGCCATGTCCCAGAGCTGGGCCAGATTTCCCATACATACAATGAAGTTTGCTACTCTTTCAGCATACCATCTCTCAGCTATTTGAGTCTGTCCAGAAATGGCAGTGAAGAAACCACTTCTTCCGTGGAGCTTTGATGATGCAGAAACTTGCTATTTATCACTGGCCTTTCTTTCTTCAAGTCAACCTTATCCCTCTTTTCCACCAACATAAATCTGTTGGTTAATATCACTTTGTCTCTGTCCACTCAGTCTTTTTTGCAGCATTCCACAATCCATCAAAAAAACTCAGGCCACTCCAATTCTCTAGCCCAAGTTCTCCTTTCCCCATTGTTATTAGCACTCCCTTCTCTTCTCCTGTTCTGCACTTCCTCACATTATCTTCAACTCATAGTAAAGCTTAGAGTCTGCTACCATGTCGTATCTCAGTGCTTTCCTTCCTGCATGAGGAGTTTCTCTTCTCTTGTATCCTATCAAGATTGGACCACTTCAGAGCCAGTTCTATATTGCAGGAAATCAACAGGTCAGTCAGTCCTCAGCCTTAATTCCACTCCAGGAAAATGGACTGAGAAATTAGCTAAATTAGTGTTATTTACACAGTGGATCGTTTTCTCTATATCACCTCCCTCCTGTCCGTAGCTTGCAGGATTAGTAACTAGCACTCAACCTACTTCTGCTGTTTCATCCCTATTCCTTATTTTGTTCTGCCAGTTTTCTCAACTCTCGCTTTCCAGGGTTTTTTCTTTTTTTCTCCCTCCATCATCATATATCCTCCACATTATAGTTTTAAGTTAAAACAAATCTGAAAGAGGGAGAAAGAACAAAAAAGTGTCCTTTGTTTGTGATGTTAATGTCTCATTCCCAAGATGTGGGGAAGGGGCACCTTTTCATCCTCCTACAAAGTAATTTGAGTATGTAACTTTGTTTTAACAGTGTAGAAGCAGAGACAGAATGTTCTACCTTGTAGCATATGTACAAGAAGGAATCCCATCACTCCTTTGTTTCCATTTGAACCACTGGAGAGCCAAAAGTGTTTTTTTTTTATTAACAATGGAGCCACTTAGTTTTACAGAAGCAATTTAAAATCCAGTAAAACAGTAATTGGAGGATTTATGAACCTTCAAATCTTGCTGAATGCAGCTCCTTTGATCCCTGGCTATTGGCAAAGCTGGCTGGGTATTAGGAGGGTTAGAAATGTCCAACTCCAGCCATAGCGAATGAAGGTATAGGAAGAAGAGTGATTTTCATGTTTATTTGTTTTCTTCTGATGCTTTCTGTTTCACAGCTTGTATTATTCTGAAGGTTTCCCCTTACGGACCAGGATATGGATGTAATTATGGTACTGGAGGGAAAAATGTAATCAGCAAAGTGAAGATAATGCAGTTGGTGAAGTTATTTTACTTCTAGTTGTACGCACAACTTACAAGCCACACACAATTTCTACCACAGCCATTTCTACACTTTGCCATTACATTTTTAACATTAAAATTAAGAGAATTTTCTTCAAAAGAAGATATAGGTTGAAAATGCTTTAGTGATCTCTGTATATATACTGTAGTTCATCTGTCTGTCCTGGCATATTCATCTAAGCTAGACAAAAATATAGAGTGCAGTATAGACTCTAACTCAATACAATGTGCCAGAAAGTTAGCTGCACATTTGCCACCAACCTGCAGATCATGGTGGACTTAATTTCCGCTAAATTTTCAATGATTGAAACTTACTATTCTAAAATCTACTCTTTCAGCAAAGTGATATTAGTTTTTTGGTACCTGCCTGCTCACTATTGTATTTTGCTTTTAATAGGTGGAATGTCATCCTTACCTAGCCCAGAGAGAACTAATAGCTCATTGCCATCAGCGAGGCCTGGTAGTAACCGCTTACAGTCCTCTTGGTTCACCTGACCGGATGTGGAAGCACCCAGATGAGCCAGTATTGCTGGAAGAACCTGGGATAAAGAAACTGGCAGAAAAGTACAAGAAATCTCCTGCTCAGATTCTTCTCAGGTATTAATAAATTAGCCTTTTGAGAGATCAACATTAAAGATCTGAAAGAACAGAGTGCTAGACCCTAAAACTCTTTATGTTACCTATGAATACATTTAGTTAAACACTGTATAGTACAAATTGGTGTTACAGTGTTATGATGTGATGGCAAAAGGATTTCAACCACTCCCGATTTTGTAAACATTTGAATTTGGGTTGTGTAAATGCTGAAATATTGCAGTGATTGTGATGACTAAGTGAATTTAGTATCCTCTTAAAAGGACAGAGTGTAGAAATATAATTCCAATACCAAGTCAGGCCATTGGTCTGCTAGCCCTAGGCTTAGTCCATTCCGAAGAGTTGCAGAGGCATTCCAGTTTTCAAACAAACATTGTTAAAGAGATGTCAGGAATTGAATCTGAGGCTTTTCTAATGCAAAGTTTTTTAGAATCAAAAATTTCCTAAGTGAGAAATGAAGCTGGTTTAATGGTTAAGCTGGTAGCCGACAAACTGGCAGACTCTGAGTTTTAGTCTCACCTTAGACATGAAAAGCCAGCTAAGTGACCTTGGACAACTCATTCTCTCTCAATCCAACTCATCTTACAGGGTTGTTGTCGTTGTTGTGGCAAAAATAGGAGGAAGGAGCATGAGACATGTTTTCCACCCCGAAGTTATTTATAAAAATAATAAAGGAGGGATATAAATAAATAAGAAAGAGGAAAAAGAATGTTAATTTTTGCTTTGCAAATAAACATTATTGTATTTTGTTAGAAGTGCAGTATTATTTTATTATACAGTATTAATGCTTTTATTCTTCTGTTGAAAACAACTTCGTAATTTAAAATGGAGATTTGCAATAGAAGGTGCTTTACAAACATTTTAATTAAATTAGCAAAACCAAGGTAGCAGCTTACTTTTTGAAAAAAGAACCTTGGATTCTAGGAATACACTTTGAAGTTCCATTCAAAGAACCCTGATTAGTATTCTGTATTCTATGTTACAATGGTATTATATTTAACTTTGAGCCCAAAGGTTTGTAGCCTTGTAGAGAAAATATTATTTTCCCTGTCAGAATAGAAGACTTTGGATTTTGTTTATCCTGTATGAGAAAATCACAGCTTGTTGTTTAATTCTGTGATAGATGGCAAGTTCAGCGGAAAGTAGTTGTTATTCCCAAGAGTGTTACCCCTGCACGCATACTCCAAAATCTTCAGGTAAGCGGGACTTCCAACTGACTTGCGAGACAAAGCCATTACTGTAGGCAGCTTTGGTCAGCAATACTGAAGCTTCAGCTGTGTTTTTTGCCTTGGTAATACACTGTACAGGTAGTCTTTGCTTACTGGTTGCTTATTTAGCAACCATTTGAAGTTACAATGGCACTGAAAATAGTGATTTACAGCTGATCCTTGCATTAGCCATCTTTAGTGTCCCTGCAATTTCATAGTCATGGTTTACGTGCTTGGCAACTTTTGACAGTCCCAGCATCCCATGTTCATGTAATCTCTATTTGCGACCTTCAGAGCTGGCTTCCAACAACCAGAGTCAATGGAAAAGCCAGTCCCAAGTCATAGTCACATACATTATGTTTAATGAGTGATTTGCATAATGATTGCAACCAGAACTGATATTGAAAGGTGTGACTGGTGTTTTATTGTTACCGTGTCACTTAGTGATAGAGTTGCTGGTCCCAATGCAGTTAGTAACCGAGGACTACCTCCATAGGAAAAATATAATCCTCAACTGATGTGTCCTGATATCATTTTACTAGAGCCAATGAAGGCACACATGCACATTCTGGTTTGTTTGAAGCTCCAGCCGATCAACTAATTTAGTATTGAATCTTACTACCACAGATTCTAGGCTTGTTTATGAGGCTATTTTTTTTTTTATCTGCTACACTGTACTGATTTAATATATCTAGTGCTTCCAGTCTGTGCATTCAATATATTTAACTGATCTTCACTTGTAAGCTTCTACCTCCCAGACTTTAAAGAAAATCTTTTCGCTTTTGGTCTTGATGAGTCCAGTAGAATCCAACATTTCTGTGTAGTATCATATTAATGTATTGCTTTAAACTGCACTTCAAACATTATTTTAATGTCGCAATTTCCTTTTGAAGTTGTTATAAGCTTTAAAGCTTTAAAAAAAGCTTTAGAAAAAAAGCTTTAGAAAAAAATCAGATAAATATAAATCCCTTCTCTATCAGCCCTCTTATGTAGAAATCATTAAATAACAGATGGCTATCCAGAAAGTGTTACAATTAATGCTATCTTATTTGAATACTCTTGAAGAGCTCAGAGATATTAATTTTGAATAATTTGCACATTTTTGCTTGTTTACCTTTTTATGTTATTTCTACGTATTACTTGGAGAGGTATTACATCTGTAGATGATTGGAAAGTTACTTTTTTTGCAATGATGGGAAGCAGAATTGATATCAATGCTTTTCTTTCCAAAGAATTATTGTTGAATTTGTTTCTTGTTTTTGAAAAATATCCTTTTTGCTTAACCCACCAATGAAAATTACTCCTGCATCTTTTAGTCAGTTAAATTTGGTAGGTTAATCCAGAGGAATAAATCAGTAATAGTCACTTTGACATCTTATCAACCAAGGAAGGTGGCTGTAAGTTGGGCAGCACTAGCCTCACTCGGGAAGCTGATTCTGTAGGACATGGCCTTACTTTACCATGATGAATCACCTGCTACTTTGATTTTGCAAAAATTCATGTTGATGAAATCCTAAGTGGAAGTCAAATTTCTATCGTCATGAACAATATCGTCTCATTGTTGTATTGTGACCCAGTTTGCCTGAACAACTATGGCATATTAGGCATGTTGAGAAAGTTTCAGACTCCATGGTACTTACTTGGATCTTTACAAAAGCTTCTACAATAGTATGCCTGAATATATTGTAACTCATAAGCATACCATGGAACACCTTCCGTGTAACTGTTCAACCTTGTTGCAATATTAATAAAGCTACTACAGCAGGAGTCATGAATCTGATGTTAGTGAGCTCCAATTTCCAATGAATTCAGCCACTATAGACAATAGAGCGAGATGCTGAGATTATAATAACAGTAATATCTGAAAGGTCACACATTTCCCAACTCATTACAATAGTCACTAGTTGCTTTTTTGTGATGAAGGTTTTGCAAGTAATAAACAAATTTTATTAATATGAACTCCTACTAAGGGATTTGCTTCTCTGAATTCAGAGATAGCTGCTTTTCTGGCACTTGTTTTTCTGCTGTATATCTCTGAGAGGATAAAACTGTAACTTTTCTGCAATCTACACTCCAAATCAGTGGTGGGATTCCATTTTTTTTACTACCGGTTCTGTGGGCATGGCTTGGTGGGTGTGGCAGGGGGAGGATGCTGTAAAATCTCCAGTCAGAGGTGGCATTCTCTGAACTACTCAAAATTTCCGCTACCGGTTCTCCAGAACTGGTCAGAACCTTCTGCATACCACCTCTGCTCCAAATATAGAGTATGTAGCACTGCCTAGTAGAAAGTGTGAGTTTAAGGTTGTCTCTAGTATCAGTTTCCTTGCAAGATTTCCTGTATTAATAGTTTTGCCAAGTTTCTGAAGTTTGGGTCTATTTCAATACAATGCTAGAAACAGCTTTTCTTATATAATGAAAGTTATCATAAAGGAGATAACTTCACAATTTTAGAATAATGAAACTTTACAGATGAGGATTTTTTTCACACTTAGATCTTTTACAAAGTGTAAGAAACACTGAAAAAGATTGTTTCTATATATCAGGCATACTTGCTGACAACAAAAAGCTATGTTTTCTTTAGATGGTTAGGATGTGCAGATCTGCAGCCAAAAATATGCTTCAGAGTGGGCGGGTGCATTCATACCACACCTATCTGCACCACCTTAAAGAAGCTGCATCTTTAAGGAGTTGCAGTGTGCACACCCATTCCCACTTTAAAGCATGTTTTGGCTTTGGTATTAAAGACTTGTACATCTCTTAGTAGATAGCTCTCATTACTTAGTTATGTTCTCACCTGTTTGCATTTACATGTGTTCTACAAGCAGAATTTTTAAGTGATTAAGACAACTCATGAAGTAGCAACAGTGAAAATCATAGCCTAAATTAACAGTAAATGTATTTATATGTTTCAGGTGTTTGACTTCAGCCTGACCATTGAAGAGATGAGCTTTATTGAAAGCCTGAATAAAAACTGGCGATACATTGTGCCAATGGTCACGGTAAATGTTGTTTCTGTTCATACAAAATAAATGAATAAATAGAAAACTAAATAAAATGAAACTGAAATTTGTAAAACACCCACTGAATGTGTTTACTCTGTATCCCCTCAACAACTTGTCTATCCTGTTTTGTCAAAAAACAAATGCATGTTTTAAACTTTATATTTCTTAATGTGTTCAATTAAAAGTTGCAGTTAAGAAATGGATTAAAGTACAAATAAATCCATAACATCCAGTAACAATGTTTTCATGCTTAATTCTCAAAGTAAAAATCTGTGTGCCCTCTAGCGGCTTGTGAGCTATAGAACAAAATTATACAGTAACCTGTTGCCAGTTACATAGTTTCCTTTTCAAAACCCTCACAATTTGATAAACCTAAGACCATATGAGGAAAAGTAGGATTAAAGGAATGAAATCATGTTTCATCCTATTAAAATATTTCAAATATTAAAATAAAACTAACAAGAAACAATATTAAGAAAACCTCAGAATATATTTTTGAGAGTAGTATAAATTTAGATAACAACCCATACTTTTGTTGCTCTGGTCATATTAATATACTGAACTGTAGATAATATAGTTAATTATAATTATAGATATTATATAATGTACAGTAGGTAAAATTATAATGGTAATATAATGATGATGATGGCGATGACGACTGTTCACATCTACAGTGTTTCTCAACCTTGACAATTTTCAGAGAGGTGGACTTCAGTTTCCAGAATTCCCCAGACAACCTGCTGGCTGCTGGCTGGAGAAATGCTAGTCTGCATTCTGACTTGGGAATTCTAGGAGTTGAAGTCCACATACAGTATTTTAAAGTTGCTAAGGTTGAGATACACTGTACTAGTAAATGGTTGAAGATCAAGTTTGACTGTTGGTTTTGCTGATGTTTTTGAAGAAAACATGACTAGCTGGCTAAATATGTTTATATCTTAATTTTTTTTTTTGCATTGTTCTGTAGTATTACATTGTAATACTCAGTGACTTTCATGGGTATTGCATAAATTTCATCATCTTATCTGTCATCTCGGTTGCATACTGCAATAGTTAATTTAAATCTTTCTTCTGTTTTTCTTTATAAGCTACTTGATGAACCAGTCTGTTCTTGGAAATTCTTGGTGATGTTAATCAGTTTATGGATTCTTATAAATGGCTTAAAAGAGTGATATGTGTCAATATTTAAATAAGTAATGAGAATTTGACCTTCGGATAATAAGGAGCATTATTAAGAATCAGCCATAGCTTGAAAGCTGCAGTTTTATTTTTCAAATAAAATTTATTTCATGGGTGAAAGAGATTTTGAATCAGTCCATGAAAAGTGTGCCAGTTACCCATGCCTTTCTACCCTCTAGAAAAGAGGAAGGTGGCTCCTGTTCTTATCCCTATAAGCATGTGGATGAAGGGTCTGATATAAAAATATAGAATCTTGACCATTAAATCTCTGAAGCACTGCCAGATGTCAGAATTTTTTATCTAAGACCATCACAAACCTAAAACACTAAGCAATATTACTTCTGATTGCACGCTTAGGAATCCTTTTAGCATATTTATTAATATTATTTATCATTTTTATTTAGGAAACTGTATAAGGTACATTTCTTTGCCCCATTTGGATATCAGTAATTAATAAGACGGATGCATATATAGGTAGTCCTCAACTTACGACCACAATTGAGCCTAAAATTTATGTTGCTAAGCAAGAAATTTGTTATGAGTATTCCCCCATTTTATGACTTTTCTTGCCACATTTGTTAACTGAAAACACTGCAGCACGAGGTTGTTAAGTGAATCTGGCTTTCCCATTAATTTGCTTGTCAGAAGGTTGCAAACGATGATCACATCACGCCACAACACTGTAGCTGATATAAATATGAGTCAGTTATCAAGAATACGAATATAAATCATGCAATGAGATCATGGAGATGCTGCAATGGTCATATGTGTAAAAAATTGTCATATTTTCAGTGCCATTGTAACTTTGAATGGTGACTAAATGAGCTGTGGTAAGTAGAGGACTACTTGTATACACTCATGTGTGTAGAACACTTAATGAATGTGAGATACTTTCAACAGAGGCTCTCTGAGAAAGAATGCGATCGGCCTTCCGTCCTTCCTGCACCAGGACACCTCAACTTTCTCTTGCCAATACTCAGATTCTGAGAGTTATGAATGGCAAATTGATGCACAGAAAATCTCCCATGGAGATCAAATTTGTATGATTGTCTGGTTATGGCAAAAGATCACTGTGGTGTCAATTGGACTGAAAGCCTTTTTAAAATCCTAAATGTTAGTTAAGGTCATCTGCAGAAGTGCAGTGTCTCCTTCCCATTCTCTTAAGAGTTACCACTGGGGTAGGTGTTTTCAAACATGTTTCTTTTAAGTGTTCTTTTCAAAACTATACCTTGAAAATCTGATACAGCAAATGTAAATATTTAAAATGTTTATAGTTCTCACCAAGTTTTTCTTTGTATTCTGATTTCTTACTCTATATTAAAAAAAAAAAACCAAGCTGGAAGCTGTGCTGCTTCAGATGCCTAAAGCTGTAGTTAGTTTAGTGACATATTTGCCATCTTTGCATATCTAATGTAGTATTGTGCTGATTTTAGGTTATAATTGATACAGAAGTGTCAATTTTTTCAGAGAAGTAAAAATGATGATTTTGTTATTAAATAATGTCAAATTTCAGACAATGCTATATTCACTTTGAAATAATAGAAACAATTGTGCTTTCTTTTAACTAATACTTTGCTTTATCTTTTGCAGGTGGGAGACAAAATGGTAGCAAGGGATGCTGGACACCCTCTATATCCCTTCAATGAACCATATTAATTCGTAAAGCTACCCAAATGAAAGATGTATTTCCGATTCATGACTGCTACTGCCATCAATTACTAGATTTTAAAAAATAAACCTAAATAAAGTTTTATATCTGTAGGATTGCATTTAATCTGGAAGAGTTAACAGTAGTTTTAGAGAAATAACTGTTTAACAATATAAATTGTACAACCTGAAATTTTTTAAATAAGATCTTAACTAACATGTTTCTGCATCTTTTTTTAAATATCTGGACCAAAATATTTGCTCAAAATCTAATGGGTGCAAAGAGGAATAAATGCAAGAAGTATATGCTTTACACATACCAAAATTTAAATTTTGGATCTCCTGCCATAATTTCTAATAGTTACATAAATATTGTGACCACAGGTTTCATGACTATCCCAATATATATTTGGTAGCACAGACCAGAAGAGTACAATATGCATGGTATTGCTGCTGACTTTAGAACTGAATGAAAATATTTTGCTACCTCAGCTTATATTTAGCTAAAATACTTCTGTCACAAAGTAGGATTATCTTCCAGACAAAGATCTGTAATTCTCTGGTTATGTTGGCATGTTTGATTTTACATATCACAAAATAGCTGCCATGGTGAGAGCATGTCACAGAACATTGGAAAGTGAACTAATAAAATTCCAATGCATACTACTATCTCAATTTATTTTTGTACTTTAGTGCACCTGTCATCCTGGAATTTATGACAACTGAAATTTAAAGAGGTCACCAGTGGTTCAAGCCCTACACAAGTAAAATCCCATCTAAAACAGTTTGGTGTAATGGTTAAGGTGCTGGCCTAGAAACCAGGAGACAAGTTTTAGTCCTACCTCAGGCATGAAAGTTAGCTGGATAACTTAGAGCCAGTCACTTCATAGGGTGGTTGTTGTGGGAAAATAAGAGGAGGAAGGATTGTTATGTATGTTCACCCTCTTCAGTTGCTTGTAATAAAGATGGCATAAAAATCAATAAGTAAATAAGTAAAACAGGCTGCCTAGAATCAATCTGTTTATATAGTTAGGTGGTGTTAGGATATTGACAGTATCTCATCATGGTTCTTATACAGATTTGAGATCTAATTTCATAGGGAATTCGTTTATTTTATTTATTGAATTTATACTGCTGCCTATTCACCCATGGCAACTCAAGGCAGGTTACAGAATATAAAACCTCATTTAAAACAATAAAACTAATAAAAAGAATAAAATATAGTATAATAAAATCACCCCCCACCCCAGTGACAGCAGATCACATGAGCCATTTAATGGGCTCCATCCCGCTCTGGGTTCCCCAGGCCCACTGGCAGAACCAGGTCTTCAGTGCCTTCCAGAAGAGTATTAGAGTGGGGGCTGTTCTAATCTCTTGGGGAATGATGTTCCAGAGAGAGGGGGCCATCACGGAGAAGGTCCCTCTGGGTCCCACAGCATTCCCTGCCTCCCCACTCTGATGGGTTGGGTAGAAGTGACCGTCAAGAGATGGTCCCTCAGATAACCTGGTCCTGAAGGGCTTTAAAGGTGACAACCAGAACCTTGAATTGCACCCAGAAATAAATTGGCAGCCAATGCAGCTTCGCGGGAGAGGTGATATATGTGCACACTGGGATCTGCATAAAACCATGAAGGCTGCTGCATTTTGCGGCAACTGGAGCTTCCGGATGCTCTTCAAGGGCAGCCCCATGTTGAGCACGTTGCAGTAGTCAAGACTGGAAGTGACTAGGGCATGAGTGACCATGAGTAGGGATTGTTGGTCCAAGAAAGGGCATAACTGGCACACAACCCGCAGTTGCGCAAAGGCTCTCCAGGCCACGATCACCACCTGCTCTTCGAGCAGAAGTCGTGAGTCCAGGAGAATCTCCAGATTACGCACAGGGTCTGTTTGAGGAAGTGCCACCCCACCCAAGACTAAAGGTGACAATTGTCCCACTCGGTCTTGCCAGGGTTCAATTTTCAATTTCATTGTACACATATTGTGTATTGACAATACATATTTGATTTTATTTTAGTTTCAACCTGTTGCTTCCCATCCAGCCCCTAACAGCCTCCAGGCACTGCGAGAGAGAGGACACAGCATCATTTAACTCTCCATGGGCCAAGACATACAGAATAGAATAGAATTCTTTATTGGCCAACTGTGACTGGGCACACAAGGAATTTGTCTTGGTGCAAATGCTCTCAGTGTACATAAAAGAAAAGATACATTAATTAGGAGTCAAGAATCCTACAGTACAACACTTAATAGTCATAGGGTACAGCTGAGTTTCATCAGCAAATTGGTGATACCTCAGTCCATGGTGATGGATGATCTCACCCAGCGGCTTCATATAAATGTTGAACAGGAGCGGAGAGAGTACCAAGCCCTGCGGAACCCTGCAAAGCAGTAGGTGAGGGCTGGATCTCTCCCTTCCGATCAACATTGACTGAGAGTGGCCACAGAGAAAGGAAGTGAACATGATAGCACAAGGCCTCCTACTCCCATCCCCAGAACCGCTTGATGGTATTGAAAGCTGCCGAGAGTTCAAGTAGAGCAAGGATGGATACACTACTCCCATCCCATTCCTACCAGAGATCATCCAAAAGTGTGACCAATGCCGTTTCTGTCCCAAATCCAGGCCTGAATCCTGACTGGTAAGGGTTGATATAATCTGTTTTATCCAGGAACCACTGGAGCTGCTGGGCAACCACCTTCTCAACCACCTTCCCCAAAAAGGGAAGATCGGAGACAGGTCAGAAATTATCCAACAGGGTGGAGTCTAGCGAGGGCTTCTTAAGAAGAGGGTGGACACTTTATTGACTTAACATGTGAAAATCCACTTAGCAGTTTTAATGATCATAACATTTAACTTATTTATTTGTATTCCATCTTTATTATTTATGAGTCATGATAGTGCAGTGGTTAGGATGCAGGCTAATTCTGCTGACTGCCAGGTGTTTGATCCTCACCGGCTCAAGGTTGACTCAGCCTTCCTTCCGAGGTTGCTAAAATGAGGATCCAGATTGTTGGGAGCAATATGCTGACTCCGTAAACTGTAAAGGGCTGTAAAGCACTACGAAGCTAAGTGCTATTGCTATTTTTGCAAATAAACCATGTATACAGGGTTTCTGCTTATTTATGAGATTTGTTAATGGACTGGATTTTTTTACATCATACAGTAATGTATGATTGGCTATTTTGTGTGGACACTGAAAAGGTGGTTAGTTTATGGTTCAAGTATTATGCAGACTATAGCAATCAGATTAATTCGGTGAACAATGATTCTTTAAATGAAGGATTAGAGGTATGTGGAAACAGTCTCCAACTACTGCTCCCCAAAATGCAACACTTCTTCCCTTCAGAAAGATTTCATAGTGACTAGAACGGTATGCACTTAGTTGCATAAAAGATTAAAGATTTGTCCTCTCCCTCTGGTTACATCTGTTAGAGGAGGATCAATTAAGTTGCACTTCATCCTACTTATACCGATTGGGAGCATCTTCGAGTACTATGCTTTTTCGGGATTATTTCGGGATAGACTACTAGTTGATCCTAGTCAAAGCAATAACGTAAGGCGGGACAAAAGCCCTGGAAACAAGACATTTTGAGACAAATATATTGCACTACAAATTATTTTTAATGCCTCCAAATCGCGTCTAATGCGTTCAACCCACAACCACTATGTTGTAAAATTATATTTTTCAGCACGCTGAGGTGGTGAGCTTTATTTACTCCGATTTTGGGACTACCTTTCCCAAAATGCCGATCGCATTGCCAAGGCAACCACACAGTCCTATTAAGAATGGTAGCTAGTCACTCGTCAAGAGACTGCCATTCGTTTATTGACTCGTCGAAAGTCCCTTTGCAAGCCACCTCAAGGCATTCTGGGAAATGTAGTTCCTTTTCCATGAGAGCGTGCTTCGCGCCACCGGGGCGTGTCTTCAAGGACTATATAAGCACCCGGAGGGTCCGGTGGGCTGCGTTTGTCTGCTGGTTATTGCTTCGCTTTTGATTTTCTGTGGCGGGTCGTTGGTTGCCAATCGCCTTTTAAGGTACAAAGGACTTGAGGCAGGATTTCTTTGTTCCGGAGCTGGATAAGCAGGAAGGTGGGGGGGAGGGAGTTGAGCTGCTTGATAAGCAGGAAGGGGGTTCGTGTAATGAGGAGGCGACCGTGGCCGCGATACCAAGCAGCCTTTCCGGAGGTTTTGAGCGTTTATTTTCCGGGTAGTAATCGGCTATGTCTGGTTTTTGACCTGGTTTTTCCTTCCTATAATTTTTCTTCATTTCTTTGAAACCTTACCGATTTCCCCTTCGCCCCCCCCCCCCCTTTGAGTGGGTTCGTACGTGCCGTCCTCGGCGTGATGGAGACACCACGTGACCTGACTGGCGTTAATGCCGCCATTTTTAATAGCTATCATTCTGGCGCGCGCCAAAGTGAGAGAGGGGAGGGGTGGAAGGAAGGAATTGAGTCACGTGGCTAGCCGTCTTGGCCCATCAAAAGTGGCCGTTGAGATTTGGCGCCGAAAGCGCTCACAGGAGAGGCAAGAAGGTGGCCCATTGTCCCTTCAGGTGAAGGGTTCCGTGGGAAGTGAGATCCATCCTCTTGCAGAAGAAATGGCTTTAAATCACTTACTGGTGCCGATTTGAAGCGTCTTGATACATTTGGGCGTATTAAAGGGCTGGGATGTATTTATTGGCTGGTTCTTGTCAGTTGGTGAAGTTTAACCTGCTGTGGTTTCTTTTAGGACAGGAAATGAAACATACTAGTAGTTGAGAAACTAAAGCTTCAAATGCAGTTGCCCAAAATATTTGTTTTCCAATAATTATTCACAGGCTTCTGTAGGAATTTCAGAGGGCCATATATTTCTTCTTTGGTATAACTTGTCATTTAAAGCTACAGGAAGTAGCAAGTTATAATTGTCTGTGCTGGCTTTTTGTCACTGGGATATATCAGATCACAAATGTTTCCCATATATTTAAATATATAGAAATCCTTTTTAAAGCTTATAAATCAACGGAGTTTTCATTTTTAATACTGTTCATTTATCGCTCTCTGGGCAAAATGAAAAAGCTACTGATTTGCCACTGCATGAGAACTGAAGAAAATAGCCAACTTATCCAAAGTAGCAAGTT